TAATAGATGCCTAGAAGATTTTTTGATTAATACCATATATTAATAAAAATTCATCATGCATATTATATGTGGTAGGATTGATCATAACATCAAATATACCAGAAGCGCATGTTCCAAGCTAGCATCAAAAGCCAAAAGAAGGCTGTCAGCAAGATATTTGACCTCAGTCCATGACCAATGGTTCTCTGATAAATTTTGAGGAACAGAGACAAGTGAATTATCTGGAAGACCACAATCATTTAACAAGTTAGGACTCTTAGATTCATCTGCCATTTCCCTCAACGATATTCTAAGAGCGCTTCACCACTTTCTTCAAGTGTTCCATCAGATTTCATCTGAGTCACTTGAACTTCAGATATCAATTCAGAAAGAGTAATAGTTACCATGACCCTTAGCCTAGCTGTTTGCGTGAAGTAGGAGAAAGAGCTCTACAACATGAAAAAACTAAACTTTACTCAACATGTCAAGAAGCATATTTACTGCTAGAGCCATATAACTATCCTAAGTAAATCAGTAACTATACTCGGACAAGTATTTGTAGGCCAGTAACAGCGCTTTTCCTGATACTGTCATTCCGAAAAACTGCAAGACGAAGAAGATGAAAAGCAACTTGCTTCAAGAATCGATCATTTTCCCTTGCCATTAGTGTTGCTCCATGGAGTTCAAAGACACTGTTGAACACAGGGAACAGAGCTTTCCAGAATGCCAGGGGTTGATTACGAGAGAAGACATTCATAAATATAGAATTCAGGCAGTCAAGTTTCCCATAATCAGTTGCGATGCTGTGGGATGCAGCAGTTCTTGAAAATTTCTCAGTTATTTCTAGAACTTGAAGACTGATGGCCGCACTAAGGTTTTCTTCCCAAAGTTCCTAAAAGAATGGAGAAGAAAGAAGGAGAAGAATGGAGCTTTTCCCTTTTGCTATTTTCCAAATTTTCGTTCGTTACAAAAAATGGCTTCATTCGGTTTGACCCGTTTTTTGTTGGGTATAAAGTTGGATTTGACGGAGCGTGCTTCTCACGTGCAAAGTTCCGTCCAAATTAAATAATTATCCTTCATTTCCCATCAATTGTCCTTAATTGGTCAAAATTACAGAACTTTGAGGATGAAATGTGTTTTAGGTGAAACTTTGATGTGAAATTGGTCAACAACCTAAACTTTGAGGATGAAAAGTGCATTTTTCCCTTTTTGAATGTATTTTCCTTTTTTACATAATTCTAGTAGAAATTAGTTTATATTTAATTAAATTATAATAGATGAGCTAACAAGAAAAATTTTTTGATTAAAGAATGTTTGAAAAAAAATTAAAATAATATTGTAATGCTTTTAGTGATATGATGTATATTAGATAGAAAGTTGGATGGAAAAATAAACAATTGAGAAACGTCAATGTAATGTAGCAAAAAAAAAATTAACTTCATTATCAAAACAGACCCAAAGTGCTATTAAAGACATGGTATGCTTTTTTCATATTAATTAATTTTTTGTTGCACAAGATAATAGGACACTATGTGAATGACAACGTTGTAACCATCTAATTTTTTTTTTTTTTTAATGAAGGGTATAGCTTCAACGGTTTTTCACATTTGACCAAAATTTAATGTTGATCTGCAGTACTTATATTTATTATTTTCAATCGTAATTCCTTCTTTTGTAGTAAAAAGAGATTAGGATCATCTTAAGACTGCAAAACCTCAGTTGCAATACACTATTGCCAAATATTTCATGACGACTATGCGAATTAATTATTAAAACAAGTTGGTTTTCAGGTTAAAGTGTAAGAAGCAAACATTCATGCTCTAGAAGTTAAGGGTTAATACCACTTTATGCCCCTAAACTTTGGACGATTACCCACTTCAGTCCCTAAACTTCAAAATGGGACACTTAAGTTCCTAAACTTATAAATACCTCCCACTTAAGGAAAATTGTTAACAAATCCTGAAAGCCATTGGTGGTCGAAGTGTCCCATTTTATAAGGGTTTAGAGATTTAAGTGTCCCATTTTATAAGTTTAGGGACTTAAGTGGGAGGTATTTATAAGTTTAGAAACTTAAGTGTCCCATTTTGAAATTTAGGGACTGAAGTGGGTAATCGTCCAAAGTTTGGGGGGACAAAGTGGAATTAACCCAGAAGTTAATGATATGTGCATAAATATATATATATATATATATATATATATATATATATATATATATATATATATATATATATATATAAAGTGATATATATATAAAGTGAATTGGCCTATTTTAGCAGAAAGAAAAAATGTGTATCCATCTAGATTGGCCCATCATGATAAATAATCTTGTATCTTTATTTCAAATCACAGAAATGAGTGTTATAGGAACTAACACTGTATCAATATAATATTACTTTGCTGACTGAAAGAGTTTTTTTTTTTTTTTTAAATCATGAAACACATTGAGATTTCAGATTTTGGACGTTCTTGTAAGTCGCTTCAACTATGGTTAAGTTTGATGTTGATCTAATAAACCGAACCGTTAAATTAAGAAAAGAAGTTAAATGCACTTGTGGCTTACCCCCAAAAAAAAAAAAATGCACCCATGATAGGAATAGAGGCATAAAGTTCTCAATTAATATAATGTCATGTATGAATTCATTAAGCTACTGATAATAATTTATTACACAAATTTTAAGAGCACCGCAAAGCCCAAAAGTATTATTACAACTCATAGGAGAAAGAAAACATTTAAGTACATGAATTATTATTATTACGATTCATAGGAGCAAGCACAAAAGTAATTTCAATCCATTTTCCACTTAGGTACAATAGTCTTCATCAGCTTAATTTCATTTGTTCGATCAACACACTGATTTTACTGCTTGGAGCTCCCAAACACATTTTCATGCCATAGATGATGATTTAATGCCCCTTCATTCGAGATGGTGCTTTGAGGGCAAAGTCCATCGCTATATTTGGACCAGGGACACCATCGTTTAGTTTCCCATATTCAAAGGTACATGCAACCAAGCTGCTTTGACCTTTGGTATCAACATGAAGTGTTAGGGATCCCGGCTTTACAATCTATGTTTCGTATAATTTCGCACAAGTTTGAGCTCTGGTGTTTTTTTTTTACATAACAAAACATATTTCATTAACGGATTGTTGGAAATCGTCCGGCATGATTGATATATATCGTTGCTCCAATGGCAAATAAAACATGTACTAAAATTGTAGATCCGCAATTTTTTTTTTTTTAAATAGGGATGCCATCCCTTAATTTATTTATAACCGAAAAAGAGTACATCAAATTAAAGAGAGCCAAACCTGATCTCTGTTAAAGGAAAAGAAACATCTAATGATAAAAAATAAAACGCACATATGAAGGAATTTTAAAGACATAATAGATCAATCCAAAGAAATCATCCACACGAAAGACCTGCCATAATAGATCTGCAATTTAACAGATACGAAAGACCTGAAAAATTAAGAACGGATCTAAAAAGTATTATCAATTTTAAAATCATCTCCTCATAAAATAAATCGCTGCAATCCACTCTGTGCATGTTGCAATCGTCAGATTTGCTAATCAACAGTTGTAAGCTCCAATAAAAATGATGAGATCTGCTAATATAGACTCAAATCTAAAATAAATTTAGATCTGACAACCAGATTTGAAGTAAATTCAAATTTAAACAACAAAACAAGGAAAGATAACACAAAATCTCAATAGGAATTCCTAGGAGAACAAAAGTTGTCACTAGGAACCCTAGGAGAAACAGAGATCTCCCACTAAGAAAATTTAGGGTAGACTTTATTAGGAAAATAACAAAAACGAAACCTATGACTGCAAATATTTAGTAGAAAACAATAAGGAGAATTAAAAAAATAGATAAATAAGAAATAGAAAATACCAAATCTTTAATGACTGCAAATATTATTGTAGATTTTTAAACAAAATCCAAATGGTTGCAAATATCATTTTAGGTTTTTAAATCAAATCTTTAATGACTACAAATTTTTAATAGTATTTTCTATTTCTTTTTTATCTATTTTTATTTTTCTTTCTTCTTTTTATATTTGCAAAAAATTAAGATTTATAGGGATTTAGTAGGCCAAAATACATTTTGTAAAATCTTCTCTACTCTTTCCAATGGAAAAAGAAAAAAAATGCAAAAAAGTAGTGAGAGAATGAATTTGTCAATTTATCAGTTTGACCTTAACTTTTTAGTTTTGATCGCTAGTTTTATTTGAAAAACTAATGGTGACACTTTAACCAAAACCGTAAGGGAGTTATGTATAAGTCTTTAAACTATAATAAAAGGGTTATATGGTAAAGTATCAAACCATATGAAGGTAAAGTACACATGGCTCGAGCCTTAATTTGGCTTCAACCTAATAAAGTCCAAATTTAACTCATATTTAATTCAAGCCTAATATTCAGGTTCAAACTCTTATCCTATTAAATATAAGTCTTAGTTGGCCTTTTTTTTTTAAGGCCAAGTAAGCCAGACTCGAACTGGTCCGACTTCACAAGCAGTCCTACCAAATATTTAAATTACATGAGAAGTACACAGTGATTGTACTTATCTCAAAGTATAAATAAATCCTAATTAACTACATAAATAATTATGAGAAACTATTAAGCAAAATAAGATGACAATAAATTAAGACACAAAAAGAGCAACAAGTATTCTACAAAGTTTGATGAATCTATCACCAACCAGTCAAATAAATAAATAAACCTTGAATTTTAAGTTGTAGTAAATTTAACGTTCAAAAATATGATATTAGTTTTGGATTTGGTTAAGAGTTGAAACTATTTGTCCCAACTTTAAAATTCAATATATGTATTTGTGGAATCAACCTAAAGTGCAGTGGTAGAAAGAAGATCCGTGGCCCGTTCCACATCAATTTCATTTTTTATTGACCCCAATATAACATATAATTTTGATGGGAAATGAATGGAACTTGAATTAACCATTTTGGATTCGTAGATTTTACCCAAAAACATATAATGTTATCAAAATTCATAAGACCAAGCACAATATTGATTACATATATTATAAAACCGTAGCAAAACACATAAAACTATTGCACACACAACAATAATTTCAGTTTTTGACCTTGTACAACAATCTTCATCAAGCTTAATTTCATTTTTTCGACACACTAATTAAAGCTGGGGACTCCCAAATACATAGTTACATGCCATATATGATCAAATATAAATATACCCCATCATTTAAAGTTACATTAAGGGTTAATACCCCTTCATTTGAGCTGGTGAGCCTCAATATCCTTAGTGATATTAAGGGCTAATTCCATCAAAGTATTTGGGTCAGGGACATTCTCACTTCGTTTCTCATACTCGATGGTCCATGCAATCAAGCTGCTTTGACCCAGAGCCTCAACATGAACAGTTGCGATGAAGGTCTTGTAAAACTCCATTAGATCTCCTTCAATCATTTTGAACGTGATTGACTTCTTCGCCTCATCTATGGCTTCAATTGCCACTTTGGCCACTTTCTCCTTCCCATCTGAAAGGGAATAAAAAAAGGGAATTGAATGAATGGTAAACCTCGTGTGACACCCCAAAGAAAAATAAATTTTCCCAGTGGCATCACGACTACCAAAAGATTCAAGATCTGTAACCTCTACTCACACCTTGCAATTTTAACGATTGATTACATGATAACAACAATCTTAGTGTTGTACCAATGTCCTGTTTGAGCTGAACACTTATTTAACGTTTTTCGGCATTATGCAACTTAATGGAGTCATTTAATGTACAGTTCAACTATAAAAAACTACTGAAAAAGCGGTTAAAAAATAGGACATGAATCATTCTTTACCTTATTTCTATCACATAGAATCATGAGTCGTATTGGAAAGCATCTTCCTTTAATGTATACTTGCATGCAGAATCATAAACAAGAAAAAAAAAAAAAAAAATATTTGAAGGGAATAAAAGAAAGGAAGCGAAAATCATGAGGAAATTCAATTACCATGAGTAAAGTTCCAGAAAGTGACAGATCCTACGGTGCCCCAATCACCACCATGCAGATCACAGCCTTGAACATTAGTGGGGCTCATGGTGGATATATGATGTGGTCTGTACCTAAAAATTTCATGAAACACATCTCCATCGGACTTTATCTCGATTTGGTTAACCAGCTTTCCAGCAAGACTCATTTCTTCTGGCTTTTGCTGGCCAGGAAAACAGGACAGTGAAAGAAAAGGGGTGAGGGAAAACTATAATCCAAAGGGCTTTATAATAGTTGAGTTGTGTGCGTTATCTAAAAGCCAAAAGTCATTTGTATTGGGGACCAGCTGTGTTTGTTTAGCTCAACTTGTTAACTTACCCTTGAATTATTTTGCTATTTTATTGGATTTGGTGGAGTACGTGATTTTCTAAGAGAAAAGGGACAACAATCACAGTGAGTCAATGATATGGGGTGGTCAAGGTAAAGATTTTCTCACAAATATTTCAATAACGAACATCATACGTATAAATATTGGGCAAATTACACTTTATCCCTATGTAGTTTAGTATTTTTGAACATAACTCTCTTATAGTTTAAAAAACTATATATAATCCGTTCATAGTTTGGATTAAAGTGTCAAAGTAACGAAATTTACAATTCATAACGGAGTCACCTAAAACATAAAAAACATCCCTATGTAGAGATGAAAATTATTAACTACGGGGATTATGTGTATATTTTAAAAACCATCAGGGGGTTAATGGTAAAGCATTAAACCATAAGAGGTTATATGATAAGATATAAAATCATACAGGGTTAGTGCGTCAGGTATATTATGCTTATATATTTTGGTTACGTCAACCATTTATTTTTAAACAAGGGGGTTATGTATAGCTTTTGAAATTATGAGGGGGTTATGTCTAACTTTTGAAACCATAGGGGATTATGTACAAAATATTAAACTATAGGGGGATAAAATATAATTTGTCCATCAATATTTGAGGGGAAAAATTTTTTTTTGGTGCATTGCGTTTGGCTACTTCTTAGAGTATTGTATTGTACCCTTGACAATTTGATGAGGATTTTTTGTGTTATATATCACAGAAATCAGTTGCATGCACGTAAGAGTATTTGGTCCAAACGGTTAAAATTGCAGCATGACAACACGAAGGCACAAAATATAAAGTGTTCGTTTTGTTTATGTTAGATAAAGATTCTTATAACAGCTGATACATTGGTCACAGAATCAATAACAGATCAAAACAGTACAATAATCAAACATAAAATTAATTATAATCACTTGTAATCAGTACAATATGCAAATGTAATCTATCACCTTAGCTATTTAAATCGATATAAACAGAATGAAGCTTATAATTGCTTAATATTTAAAAGCAATACCAAATAAACAAAATAACCAGTATGCTCTTATATATATATTTTTTACTATTCGTAGTTGACTAAGCATTATTTTTACTTGTTGCTTTTAATTCAATGAGGATCCTATATGGATCCGGAGCCCTTGCAGTTGAACTTTTGTCTAGTTATGTACGATTATGTAATTCTTACGACATTTAGGATAAACTAATACAATTTTGATATAAATGGAAATTTTCATCTAATACAACTAACTGGATATAAAAATCATGATTGTGTGAGTTAATTACGCCAAAGTTATCAGAATTACATCAATTGGACTAAATTAGATAGAAATCAGACTTTTTCTTTTTTTAACCCTCTCACCCCTCCTCATATGCTTTCCATCCCCGACTGCCAGGCACAACTACAATAACTGCATTACCAACTACACTAATTCTTACTTTAGCCATATCACAAGAAGTTTATTAATGTTTCATACCTGTAGGTTGAAAAATACAATTATTTTCAGAGTAATTCTAAAATATACAACATATGAAAATTTTTTTTGTTAAATTATGTGCACCAACTTGTTTTATTCAAATATAATACGTATGTCTACTAATTATGCTTCTAACACCAAAACAATGAAATAAAAGTTTGAAACAAAATATATACTAATCCAAGTAATGACGCAATTTATATCCAAAAATTTTCCGTGGGTATACTTCCACGCCTGGACGGCTCTTAAAGTTCTCCAATCACCATCATGCTATATATATATATATGTATATTGTACGAAAAGGGAAAGAGAATAATTAAAGTTTAAGCATTTACAAGTCGGGGCATCATCATGCTATTCTTTTTTTTTTCGGAGACGATAATAATTTTATAACCTATTTTATCTTAAACTACAGGAGAGGGGGAGTCTAAAGAGACTTGTGTTAGGAGCTAGCAGCCACATAGATCTTACTAGACCAAAGAAATATTTTAGCATCATTCTTAAACTTTTTTCACTACAGGTGAATTTTGAATCCCCACCTACAATCCAACAAGGGACTTAAGACTCACCTCCTTGGTCGCCACTGAGCTTGGCTTAGTGGTTGGCACCATCATGCTATTCAACACCTTGAATATGAGTAGGGCAGATGCCGGAGATATGATATTAATTGTCTGTCGTAACGATTACACAGAAACACCTCTCCATCTCATGACTTCATCTCGATTTGACCAGCTTGCCACTTAAAATACTTATCTCTTCTTTGTTTTGTAGTCAACCAAGAAACTAAGGTAGGTCTAGGGTTGCATATGAGTCAAGACACTCGCAAGAACATTACCAGTAGTTTGAGTTAAAGTTCGATCCGAACTCGATTAAGTCAAATTTAAGTTCAAAAATATTTAACTCGTTAGCTTGTGTACTGGTTTGATTATATATAGATATAAATATATATTATTTTTATTTTAATAGTGAAATTACTTATATATTTTTAATATTTTACTATTCATTAAGAAAAATATTTTTTTATTTTTAAGCCTCGAACTCGAGCTCGACTCGATTCAAATCTGAATCGAGCTCAAACTCGAACTTTACATTGAGAGCTTGTCGATCTCGAGTTCGAACTTAATAAAATTAAATCGAAACACGATTCGATTAGATTAAAATTTGATTTAATTTGACTCGTTTGCAGTTCTAGGTAGGCAAAGAAAATCCTTGAGGTAGCACACTAGCTAGCATTGAGATGACTGCAGGGATAAACGGAGTGCGATTGTGCCAAAAACATGTGACCGCTAAGAGTTTAAGGCACGGCAAAAAGAACAAGTTGGTTATTGTGCCCAACTTAAAATTTCAATCCGCCCAAAAAAAGTATTTGAGCTCTTTTCACCCAACTCAAGACTAATCCAACACTCAACAGCCTCAACCCAACCTCTCATTATTAATGGATAGATTGGATGGATTGTTGGGCTTTGATTATAATTTCCAAGGTTAGATGTTTCCCTTGTTGTACGAATTGAATTAGGCTGAAACCCGAAGAAAGAAAACCTAAACCTAAATTTAAATTTTAGTTACCAAACACTTTTTCAACAAAAACCTATTAGTATTAACTAGTCAATGAGAATAGTAGTGACAAAGATTGATGAACTTTTACCAAACGGCTCCCTAGAGATCCTTTGCCCTTTTACTCGATCGATTAGTTCCATGCGAATGAAAGCAGAAAATTGCTCAAACATTTGGATTTGATAATAGAGGTTCAGAGAATTGGAAATAAATGAATTGAAATGGAGATTTATTACATAATTCAGCTAGAGGATTGAAGAAGTGAACAATCCGGATAGCTGGAAGAATGAGGAGAGACTGGATTAATCCAGTGGTCGGCCCCGGCACAGATTTCAATTCACGGAAGATTTCAGAAAGAAGGAAGATACAAATCCCATGTCCTCTCTTCTGCACATACTACTGCTGCTACCACTAACACTGTAATAGATACAACACAATTAGTAACCATTTGCTAACAACTCGCTAATTAACCCTGAGCCATGTGTTGCTGAGTTGGTATTCTTCCACTTAACTGTCACGTATGCATTTTCATGTCAGGATTTAGCTATTGATGGCTGATCGAAGATTGAGTTTATGTGGTGGTGCCTAGGGCTGCAAACGAGTCGAGTCGAGTCGAGTTTTGAGCTAATCGAGCCGAGTCTCGACTAAATTTTACCAAGCTCGAGCTCGATGAGCTGGCAATTTTCGAGCTCGAGCTCGAACTCGAGTTCGAGCTCGAAAAAAATAAAAAAAATATTTTATTTTTAAAAAAAATAAATAAAATAATATTTTTTTCTGAATAAATTATAAAATATTAAGGATATATACGTAATTTCACTATGAAAATAAAAAATAAAAAAAATATATATATATAATATACGTAATTTTATTATTAAATAAAAATAAAAAATATATATATATATAAGTATATATATATATATATATATATACTCAAGCTCGCGAGCCGGCTCGCGAGCTAACGAGCTTAATATTTTGAGCTCGAGTTTGACTCGAGCTGGCTCGAGCTCGATTAATATCGAGCTTGAATCGAGCTTGACTCGAGCCGCTCGCGAGCGGCACAATTCGTTTGCAGCCCTAGTGGTGCCCCTAACGGCCGTTGAGATTCTCAGTCCCTAACGGGCGTTGGGCTGTACAGAGTCTCGCCCAAGGATGTACAGCAATTTCGCGCAGTAAGGTTCGAACTAATGACCTACGGGATATTATCGCATGTGGTCAACAGCTGAACTCCCTGTTGGAGGCTATCTTAGAATAGTTGGACTTGCGACTTTTGGAACGCTAAAATTGCTCCCCAATTTCACAAACGAAAAACAAGAATTCAACCAAAAACAATTTACATGCCTGATTAAAAATCATCTCCTAAAATTTGATATAACTTTTTCTTCTAACTCCAAGATAAAAGTCATAACTCAAAATGGTTGATAATAGCAATATCAATCCTATTCAAAGGTCAAATATATAGTCAGAGGTCTGAGAGACACGTGAATTAAGTGACATGATTGCAATAGAGTGATGAGATCCAATAAGGGGTTTAATATGGTGGTTGAGGATCTCACCGCCCTAATGGTGTTGTGGAGAGAGGCTGTGGAATTATTTCGATTTCTTTTTTTTATTAATTTTTTTAATTTCAACTCCGGTATTGTGCCCAACTTTAAGATACAAACCGTCCAAGTAACATTTGGTTTTCTTTCCCCCAATCCAGCTCTTAACTCAAAACCCAATTGAGCCAACCACCCTGTCAATAGTGGGTGGGTTGGATGAATTGTTGGTTTTTAGGTATAATTGCCGACCGTCAACGC